ATCTGTCTTACAGTCACGGTCAAAATTACCGGCACCTCTGGAATTTTTCCAGAAAATGCACCATTTCTCCCAGAGAATTGTTAAAATTACAAATGCTTTGGTATGCACGTGATTATTTCCTTTATGTGTAGTGGATCAACACAAAAAAAAGAAGAAAAAGCCAAATTTGACAGTGTTTCACGCAAAACTCCAAAACCAACATTTGATTGCACGGCCTTTGGAAAAAATAACTGCAATCAATCGCTTTCTATAACCATCAACAAGCTGGTTACGCCTCTCAGCTGGAATTTTCGACCACTCTTCTTTTGCAAACTGCTCAAGGTTTCTGAGATTTGAAGGGCGCCTCCTCCCAACAACAATTTTGAGATCTCTCCATTAGTGTTCAATCATATTTAGATCCAGACTCATTACTGGCCACTTTAGAACTCCCCACCGCTTTGTCTTCTACCATCTCTGGGTGCTTTTAGAGGCGTATTTGGGGTCATTGTCCTGCTGGAAGACCCGTGACCTCTGACGCAGACCCAGCTTTCTGACACTGGGCCCTACATTGTGCCCCAAAATGTTATGGTAGTCTTCAGATTTCATTATGCCTTGCACACATCCAAAGGCTTTTTTGGAGTTTTTAGAATTTTTGGAGTTTTGCATAAAACACTGTCAAATTTGGCTTTTTTTTTTATGTATTTTGTGTTGATCTACTACACATAAAGGAAATAAACATGTGTATAACAAAACATTTGTAATTGTAACAATCTTGTAACAATATTGTAACAAAGAAATGGTGCATTTTCTGGAAAAATTCCAGTGGTGCCGATAATTTTGGCCATGACTGCATACACTTAACCAAGCAAAACTCAGTATGACTGGTTTCTTACTTGGTGATGTCGTGTATGTAATGTGGAAACCTCGGTCAGAGACAGAGAAGTCAGAGTGGAAGTGAATCCATGCTGCTGGGCCAGTGGTCTGTATGGGGGGTGGAGATGCAGTACTACAGTACTTTCCTAACACTGGATCTTCAGATAGAAGGCCATCCCGAATCTATAGCATTTGGTGACACAAAACAATAGAGGAAAAACTGTAAGGATGAAAAACATAGTAGTAGTTTCAGCCAATGCACTTACCTGCTAAAATAGCAAACTGTAGCAAACACGAGTAAGACAGAATAATTTCATTGTTTTCATTTCAGCAGCATGGCTGCATTTAACCCCGCTTTACAGAGTACATAGGTAAGTGGGGCTGTCCCCGCAAACATCGACACACAACACAAAAACATGCGTTCAAAGTGAAATGGGTAATGTGCCATTTCTTACCTCTAGAAAGTCAAAGTTGCAGTTAGGATGATGTTCAAGACTTAGAGTCCCGAATGCAAAAGTAATGAGAAGGCCGGGGTCCACTGTTACTGTCCAGTAGCAGTCCCGACTAGGTGGGTAGTTTCCAGGATAACCAGGTGAATTAATGTTGCCATAGGGGGCAGTTAGTTCCTCTCCACACACTGAGATTAGAAACGGATTTAAATAAATCAACATTATTCATACAACTGTTGTTTTCTATTAACTTAACAGGAAAACATTGTTCA